TTTTATTGGCTTTTTGACAGACATCACAATGGCAATACAGTAGGTACACATGTATAGAAGATGGTCTGTAGGAAAATTAAATAGTTACCTCACCCCTCCCTCCCACCCTCATCCCTATGGGCTATGATCACATTATAAACAAGACATAAATCAAAAAGTTACAAAACATAAAACGCCAGCATAAAAAAGAAAAAAAAGAAAAGAGGGGTAGAAATTACATGAAATACAAAGACCGATATATATTTTTTTAATTATACCTACATACTTAATAATAACATAATAATAACAACATAATAACATCTTCAATGCATGACTTTTACATGTATAAAGGCTACTCTTAAAGTATGGTATCAGGTCTTTTACTTTAGTATCTGAATACTTCTTCCACCACTGGTCTCTGTTCTGCTTTTTATTATTCTTTCACAATCCAGTGCGTGTGTGTTTAGCAGTCACACAACACACACATTTCCTCTGTTCTCTGGACTGAATCCAGAGCTGCGTTCTGCTGTCTTTGGGTTTTCCTATTCCGCTCTATCAGACTCTTACAGTCAGGGGGGATTTCCTTTCTGGCAAAATGTAAATACTGTAATTTACCTATTGTTTATTCCAGATACTGACCCTCCAAAGATCAAATGTCCTCTGTCCAGACTCAAGGTTGCCGAGCCTGGAAAACTCACTGCCATGGTGACCTGGGACCCGCCCAAAGCAACAGATACTGCTGATAAATCCCTTGAGTATGTTGCTCCTTTCCTTTGCCTCCCTTTCCTGTTCCTACTTATAATGGATTAAACTCTCCTCCGTCTCTCTGCAGTGTGATTCTTGTTGGCCAGGGGCCGCGCACCGACTTTAAAGAGGGAGCGAGCATTATCCGATACAAAGTGTACGATCAAGCCAGGAACAGAGCCGCCTGCAAGTTTATTGTACGTGTTGAGGGTGAGTTGACTTATAGTGAGTTTAAATACTACACATAAACTAATAGACACACAATGAGACAATGTTCCCCTGGGCACAGACATGCAGAAGGCCCCACAACATCTTCTTTATAGGAGCCAGTCACACTACATTTGACTTTATCAATGTTTAGCCTCTTTCTATTGTGCTTTTTTGTCAGTCTTTGTGTCAATTTTTCTTGTCTTTGTGATCGTTTTGCAGAATTGTTATATTATTTCTTTGTGGTCATTTTTTCTCTTTGTAGCTGTTCTTTCTTTTTTTGGGTTATTTTGTGTCTGCAGTCATTTAGCACCACTTAGTAGTTGTGTCTTTGTGGTTGCTCTGTGTCTCTTAATTGTCCTTTTGAGTCTCTCTGCGGTTTCGTGTCTCGTTACAGCTGTTTTACATCTTTTGATAGTTGTTTAATGTTTCATTATGGACATATTGAGTCTATGTAGTTGGGATGTGTCCCTTTATGTATCATATTGTAGGTAGACTCTTGGGGGACCCTGATCCTTGAGACCCCTGAGCCTTGGCCCAATAGGCATGTTCGGTAATGAAAAGAGAGCATTATACCTGGATGACACATTTCTTATTTCCACTTTCTTCTCCCTATAGTGAGAAGATGTCCAACTCTACCTCCACCTCAGCAAGGCTTCCTCACCTGCTCCTCTGATGGGAATAACTACGGTGCAACATGTGAATATCACTGTGAAGGGGGATATGAGAGGAGGGGCGTCTCTTCTCGTGTCTGCCTGTTCGACCGCAGCTGGGCGGGAGAGCCGGCTGAGTGTGTTCGTGAGTCCGCATTAAAGTTGCATATCAGTTTTGCGGCAAAAACATAATAGGACACATATAGAAGAAGGTGAATGATGCATTTGTGACTTGTGTGTTTGCAGCAATGGAGATTAAATCAGATGTAAAGACTGTCTCTGCTCTCCTGGAACAGTTTTATGAAAAGAAGAGGCTGCTGATCATGTCTGGTCCAAACATAACTGACCCAGACTACCAGCTGCAGAACATCATGATACAGGTGAGCAAATGTGTGGCTGCTGGTCTTAATAAGGACATTTAAACAAAATAACTCAAACATTTTTCTTGTTTCAAACAGAAAGCAGACTGTGGATTAGACCTGAGACGTGTTACCGTCATCGAGCTCCTGGGCTCCCCGCCTCATGAGACCGGTCGCATCAAAGAAAGTCTGCTCAGCTCTGAAGCCATCGAGGGTCTGAGGTGACAGTGAGACTACTTACTGCTTAGTTATTCAGCCGTTTGATTGGTCATGGGGAAAAGCGTTTATTTAGCTGAAATGTTCCATTCTGAAATGGAAATAACTCCCATTTCCATTGAAGGTGTATCTTATTACTCATTTTAAATGTCAGGATCCTCCTAATAAAAGGGATTCTGTATGGGGAAAAAAAATCCACTTTAAGGATCAGCACTGTTTAAAATGGCCAGATAATAACAACACTGAGTAATGATGATCAATGGTAAACAGGACCATCTCGCTATAGTTTTCATGAGGATCTGTGAGTTGGACATTATTTTGCAGCAGGCTCCAACATGCAGGCACTAGTTCACCTTAGAAGAGCCGGAGATATAGATTTTTCCACCAACTGTGTAATTTGAGTTGGGGGCACTGCTGCTCACTTTTTCCAGACTGGAAAATCTCTTCAGTCTCTTTGACACACAGCGGAGTGAGAGCAGCGTATTAAAGGCACATTCTTTGAGTGTAATGCAAAGCACTCTGGGAAATGTGGGCAATCACTAAAGGTAGAAGAAAAGGACAGAAATACACTTCTGATTTCACTGTTTACCATGCCTTAAAACAGGGGTGTCAAACTCAAATACACAGTGGGCCAAAATTAAAAAATGGGTACTAGTCGAGGGCCGGACTGGTTCAATGTTTATTGCAAAACGTATTGAAATGAACTTATCGCACATATTAAACCTGGAACTAACAAAGCTTAAATTATTGCCTGTAAAAACAACATTAAATAATCAGCTGCATTCATTTCTTATGGCTCTATCTGCAGCTTTTCCAGAGTCATTTCTTATGAGTACATTTTCCCACAGGCCAACAACAGCTTCAACAAAACTATTCCCCTCAACAAAAAACTCAAACATGCCCTGTTGTCTCAAGAAAGAAAGTGCAGAAGGAAACATCCATTGAAACTCAGTGTGCTGCTCTGTGATGCTAGTTCAAGCAGATACTTGGCATCTCCTCTTGGGTGCAAGTTCATAAATGTTTGGGCTCAGGCTCTGAAATTAAATCCACTAAAGGCTTGATTTGGCCCACGTGCCTTGAATTTGACACATGTGACCTAAATACAACAAGGACTAAATTACTTTATCAATATCCATCACATTTTAAGAGACCAAAATTAAGTTTTCAAATGTTTAGCTGGCCTGCAATCTGTTCCTAATTTGTACCTTATTATTTCAGTTTTAAAAGGCAGCAACTGTTAAGAATACTATAAAGTATCAATAAGACGGCTTTAGTCTTATATCATGTATATCATGGGTCTTTTACAGGGGGTCCTCATAGTTACTGCAGGAGGTCGGCCAAATTATTACTTGTAAATATTAAAATAATGATTTAAACTAACACACATACAACTTTTAGCAAAATATTTGTCCCGTTCTTTAAAAAAAAAATAAAGAAATTCATTTGCACAACATTGATGATGTTTAACCGTGCAGCACCTATTTAGCTACTTCAATAGAAAAGGGAAACAATACTCTCTCCACCTATAGTTGTAAGTTTGGAATATTTTGGTTGAATCAACAAAGTAAGATCTCATATTTCTTGCTCAGTAGTGATGTGGGTTATGTACAGTTTAAGTAGAAGGTCAAAATAATCCTGGGCTCTCCTAGATAAAAGGGTTTTAATAATCTACTTTGTCTCCTGCAGACAATCGTTCAGGATCTCCAGGTCGTACTTCAGCATGTTGCTGCTGGACGAGCTGGGAATGGACCGGGAGCGCTTCATCTACCCGATGGCGTCGGACGAGCTGTTCTCGTACATCGACAGCTTCCTGCTGGAGGAAGAGGAGCGAGAGAGGCTGGAGCTCCACAGGGACTTCTGCGACTAATCAAATAAACCTCTCCTGTTGCCACAGCGATAAACTCATCAGCATTACTAAACACAAGATGAGGAAGGACAAACAGCCCAAAACCAGGTCCAGAGGGACATAAGGGGGATGGGGGGGTGTGTGATCACCAAACAACACTGAAGTGCTAGCACTGTTTTCTCTCTCTAATCATCTGAAAGGCACAGAGGCCAGCAAATGGAGACAGAAGATACAGACAAGCTCGAGAAAAGCACATTTAAATAAAATAGAAACATACATTTAGGTGAGATATGTGATTTGGTTTAGTTTGTTTGTAAAGTACCACCTGTTCTGATGTGAAATTGAAAGAGAACTGTAAACACACACATCTTAAAAAGCCTATTAAACTAACGTGGGCAGGTTATTTAAATCCAGCTGGTATGGACGATTAAGCATGTCTTTTGGTTTTTAACATTTTTTATTAGATGAACAGAATATTATTGGAAACCTTGAGGTAAACACAACTCTGATCACATACAGTTAAAATATTAATATCTACTTTTATTTCTGCAAATAAAGACATTTAATAATTTCAAATAAAGATTTGTGTGCAACTTAAAAAGATAATAATACAATTTGTTGGATGCAACACCAGAGATTTTCTAATTTATAATGACTTGTTTTCCCACGGGTCAATATAATTATGTACACAATTATTAAGAAAAAAGGTGATACTAGTTCTGTGCTAAGTGCTCAAAAGTGTGCGTGAATTTGAAATGCAGTAAATATGCATTCTGAATTTTAAAAAAATATATAAAATGTGTCCTTGCTCTTAAAATGAAGTTTGTGATGTTTTGGCACATTTTCTAAAGTTACACCAGTCTGCAGTCAGGGGGCGGAGCTAAACACAAACCCCACGGGGAGGCAGATGTTCAGCAGGAAGTGTGTGGTAGTCACTGCGCTGACAAAGTTGCAAAATATAAAAAAAATCCATAATCTCAGACCTCGCAGCTTTTTAAATTTCAGTCTCTTTTGGTGCCGTCCTCATTTGCCCTTCACCATGGTGGAGCGCAGGGGAAGAGTGCCCTCTGCCCACGAGTCGGGGTACTTCATCATCTTTTCCCACAGACTCACTTCCTCTCCCAAAGAGTCCATTTCCACTTCTCCTTTTCCAATTTTCACTGTGCCTACAGGAGGGAACATTACATGAAGGCAATCATGAGATTTAAGGGTGGCAAAAATGTGTCTTTTTTTAAATTAATAAATGGCAAATTCCTTTTTCACACTGAATTTTCCCACAGAAGCTTTAGAAGTAATCCTGCAATTAAGAGTCTCTTTGTCAAAAAGGTTATTATTATTTGACAATAGAACCTATTAAACTAGAAGAGATATAGTAAGACTTTCTATTTGATATGAGGATTCATTTAATTTTCCTTCACGGAAGTTATTAAGGAAGGGGGAAGGAGTAAAAGAGGGTACCTAAACCAAACAATTACTACAATTCTTTTTTCATTCTTGATTCCTCTCCTCTCGTCTTAGTCCCTCCAACCTGAGATGTGAGGAGGAGGCAAGGAAGAGACGCAAGGGAAGGGAGCGGAGGAAACAGGCGTTTAACCAAATGAGACATCTGTGCCTCTGAGCCGCCATTTAAAAGCATAGTCAAGTAAAACATTAAGTGTTCATTGTTATGTAATAGCCTAATGCTGTACGTTATGATTTTCCTGTTCATGACACCTTATACATTTATTTTTAATTCAAATACCCCAAAAAAACTACTTTGAAAGGGTCCTGTGCATCCTCGCTAATAGCTCTCTCCTAGCTCACTCTTTCCGGGTCACAGGCAGGAGGTTTAAGGAGAGAGGAGACGAGGAGTCACAAAATAGATAGATTAAAAGAGTAGATTCCTAAATCTAGACCACTAACCCTGACAGCTTTGGTGCCATTAACTAAGAGAAATGTTCAAAGAAGAGCAGTTGTTTGAATGACACACAAAAGAAGATATAAGATAAATATATAAAATAATTCAAAACTTGTATTTCTATTGAATGAATTGTATGTTTGACCTGTTCCCGAGCTGAGGCGGAGTCCTCCCAGGAACTCGTTGCTCCCCATGGCCTCTCTGTCCCACACTGTGAGCTCCAGACACATCTCCTGCAGCTGCTCCAGAGCCACATCCTTGTACACAAACGTGTGGTCGTAGCTGGGGTTCAGGTTCTTCTTCACCACCGGAGTCTTCTTCTTTGTGTTCTTTGCCTTCGTTGGGAACAAATAACTGCAGGACCACAAAAAGAGAGCGAGTCTTGAACAGAGAAGATGCTTTTATGTGAATGCAAAATGTCCTTTTAAGACTGGAAAGTTGATCACTTACCCTTTTACGAAGCTATCGGAGGTGTCTCCTGGCTTCATTGCCATCAAGTTATTTGCCTCTTTGATAAGGACATGCAGCTCTCCACTTCCCCCGACCTCTGCCTTTTTGCCTGAGGAGAAGATTGACACACGCTCTTAGAAGTTAAGTCAGAGTGAATCAAAGTCAGCCAGAGCTTCTTATCATCGTCTTACCTTTTTTCACAGAGGTCGGAGTTTTAGGTGTGACATACTTCAAGGAGATCACCAGCTCTCCTTTGTACTGGGCAAAAGCTGAAGCTGGTGCAGCAGAGGCTGACTGTTGGAGAGTAGGTTGTATAGTCAGGACACAAGAAACATAAGTAACAGTACAGCAAACATGGAGGCCTCATGTCACACTGGTGGCAGAGGCTGATGACAATGTTTCACGGTAGAAGAAACACATTAACAATATATCAGCTGATAAACACTTAGACTCATACACAGCAACCCCCCCTCTTCTGTTCAAGGTAAAGACTCTCAGCTTGATGAAATAAATAATAGACTCTCACTTTCCAAAGGATCTCAAACACAGTCTTAGTATTTTTGCAAAACATGTTTACATACTGCTGTGTTTATTGTAACTTTGTAACTGGCACAACATGTTCCTTCGGGATGAATAAAGTCTTATCTTATCCCCACAGTAAACAGGTGAGGCTCTGCTTCTCACAGACAATCTGCAACTTGCTTTGCTCTAATTGATATTTAAAACTTGAACTGCAGTTTTAACCTCCAGTAGTGCTTGTGACGAAGGTAACTTCGTCACTGTGGACCGACGGCTTCGGGCCTTGTAATATTGCACATGTGGTTTAGTTTGAAAGTGTTCCCCCTCCTGTTTTGTCTGTGGCTGGTGATTGGGTTCACCTGGTGCCCTGTGTTGTCTCCTCCCCCCCCCCACCTGTGTCTTATTGGCCTGATTAGTGTGTGCGTATTTAGGCTCTGTTTTCCCTGTCAGTGGACAGGTAGTGTGTGTGAGATCCTTGTTGCTGGTGACTGTGTGCACGTGGGCAGCAATATTGAGGCGGTGAATCATGTGTCTGTGATTTAATAAATGCTCACACCGGATTATATTTGAACTCTCTGCCTCCTTGCCTGCTCGGGCCGCTCAACGGTCAGTCTCACAGTGCTATAGAGGAATATTATATTCGTAGCTCCTTTTTTTTTTGTTTGATCTAGTGCACGTGACCCTAGGTGACGTGTTTCACATTCCTGCAGAAGGTTTCCCACTCTTCCTCTGATCTACAGGTCACCACTGAGTATATAGAAACAATTAGGTTTTTTTCTTCTTCTAGACAAAAGTGCAGATTTTTTATGAAAAAGGAAAAGTTTTCAACAGGTTTGTAGACCACAGGATAAATACTAAAGGTAAAAAATACTGAATTTAAACAGAAACTAGATTTACAAAAAAGTACCACACAAAAAATTATTTAAATAATTTCTTTACACCGTGTAACGCACATGACGGATTAATAGATATGAAGACATCCAACACAAGAGGTATACTTGGACATTTTAACGTCTTTAAGGCTGCTCTTTAGTACGATAAATCCATGTTTACTAACGTACAGTCTACAGGCAGCAATGCAATGTTTCAAAATTAGCCTTAGAAGGAAAGGTATTCATCACATTGTTTGGACACTGGAGATTTACATAATTCAATAAAGGTGCTATCTTAAGAATTCATAACAGTTCTACATCCAGTGTCTCTGGTCTACCTTCGCCATGAGAGCCACGTTCTCCTCGTGCGGGGAGTCGAGGTCTCGGCTGTCCAGAGGGATCTCCACCTCTCCCAGGAAGGCGTTGCGGCTCAGGCGTCCGTGATGCCAGACGGATATCAACATGGAGCGGGTGAACAGCTGAGAGCGGCTGATGGAGTACTGACAGTGGGAGAAGAACGAATCAAAAGCTGATCTTCATTTTTAAAACCTATTTTATTTTAGTGCTCTGGTGCTGAAGGGAGTTCTAAATAAAACATGGGACATGAATTAATCAACATGAATTCAGATTTGATCAGAAGTTGCATCTGAAATCTTCCTAATATTTCCCTTCACTCTCTTTAATGAGCAAATCCTAAATTACAGATGAATAATACTACGAATGTTTTTATCCAGCTTTCCTTTCTGAAGCATTGTTTGCTACTGTATTTAAGCTGATTCCACATTGGACCAAAAACAATATTTGACAACAGCTATTCTAATCTGCAATGTCAATATCAATCTTAAAGTCTCTGTAGGTGTGGTCATTATTTGCAGCATGCGAGGCACAAGGTCACTAATCAGGGAGTGCCATTAAGTCAACAGGAGAAGGTCAACACTTATAAACCCTCACCTTCAGCGTTTCGTTGTAGACCGGGTCCACCGTGTTCCTCTTGATGCTGGTTTTCTTTTTGCTCTGGCGAGATTTGTCAGGCAGTAGATAACATTTAACATAACTGAAACACAAAGACAGAAGGAATGCTTAAAGTAGTTTCTCACAGAGATGTCTACCGCTTCTCTGCTGCATTTCTTTGAAATGTATTCTTTTTGTTTATTTGGCCGTTTTTAACTCGTACAACTTAAAGGTGGGGTAGGTAATTCTGGAGAAACCAGCTCGAGTGCGCTAGAATTTGAAAATACACAACCGGAAAAAATCTGCCACTTCCTTACAGAGCCCCTCCTCCAACACACACGAACATACACATGACCAACGAGGGCACGAGATAAGTTTGTGCACAGATGGAAGGCTGACAGGCAGGTAGGCCATCCAGTTATTTTAGCCGGGCCGGCTAAAATGATTGGTTGTGCTTTTTACAGCGCTACGGCTTCCACAGATGACATTTTTTAATGAATTTTTTGTCAAAGCACTTCAGATATTCATTGCTATCGGGATGTTAAGAGCATTCCATGGAATATAACAAAAACTGCATCTCGAGCCGGTTTCTCAAACTTACCTACCCCACCCTTAAATACATATCTCTATATTTGAGAGCATGTGAGTTAATACATTATATGTTAGTTCATGAGAATCAGCTCTGTATACAATACAACTGAATACATTCTCTGGAAAATATCTGTTGACATTGAATTTCCTGTGAAGTTCAAGCAATCACCAATAGGACATGATAATCAAGACTTTTGTAAACACAGCAGCTTCTTATCCACACGGATCAAAGCTGTGCTAACAGCACTAAGTGGGGTGTGTGCAGTACAAATATACTGTGTCAGAGCCACAATCTGCGGTACGAAGGCCAGAGTTTAAATTAGGTGATTTACGCTTGGAGAAAGAAAAAGTTTATTAATATTTACGGATGGGAAAGCTGGCCCGAGGCATTGCCGTAGGCCAGCCCGTGGCACTCCTTGATGAAGACATGGAGGCTCTGGGTGGGCTCGTTGTAGCTCATAGAGAAGACCAGGTCTCCGCTCACTTCCACACTGTCAAAGTCTCCTGCTTCACTGTAAATACTCATCAGGCTGCCCAGCGTGCTCTGGAGGAACATATGGACACCTGAGCTGAAAACTCATCATCAGCCATTTCTGTATCATTATTCACAAATTCTGACTTTAAAAGGATAGTTTGGTTGCTTTGGAGTGGAATTGTATGACTTAATTATCCATATTCATAGTACTTACTATAGGAGACACAGACATGTGTAACAGCATGGAAATTAAGGAATGTACTGCGGTGCACAGGGACATACAGTATTTTAACACCAAAATTAAAAGATAAGTTAAATTAAGTGTACACAATATATTAATTATTATACTGCTTTTCCTTGCTGTCCGATAGCAATTTCTGTTATCTCTCTATTTGGTCAGACTCTTGTGTACAGCAATTAGCTTTCGTGATGTCATTCCTGCCTGGTCTCAGCTGGGTGTGCCAGCTGCCATCTACAGTAATTATGGATAATCAAGCCACCCATCCGAACTATTATTAAATACAAAATAGCAGCATTAAGATTATGTTCTAGAAGACACCATCTGATTGCTTTGTGATGAAGGTGCAGATCAGATTTCACAATAAAGAAATAAAGAAAACTAAGAAATGACTGTTTTTAAATGCCTTTGTCTGAATGTCTTTCATTTTTGTAAAGAACCTTGAATTGCCTTGTGTTGAAAGGTGCTATATAAATAAACTTGCCTTGCATTACCCAACACAAAACTGCTGAGTTGCAACAGAAAGGGACAAACAAATTAGCAAAGATCAGAATGTTTCTGTCAATAACCAAATCCAGAGTGACAGTCACTTTTGTGTCCCCTGAAGCTTTGGTAAGTTTATAAACATTAAGGCCTTTTCATATCAGTTTCACACTTGCTGGAGGATATCCTGAGGTCAAAGATGCTCATTCAGATGATCTAACATCAGTTCCGTTTTGTGAGAGACATAATGAGCTGCTTTCCGAAGATGAATCTTTTGGTGTACTAATGTGAGCTAAGAGAAATGTCAATACTCTACCTTCGAGCTGTGCAGACTGTAGGAGCTTGAAGCCATTGACCTTTTATGAAAGCTAACCAAGCGGTCTATATCTTCCTCCTCCTCTCCATCTTCCTGTGGAAACAAAATAATTAGATTTCTGTTGTCAGCTAAAATCAGGCTAGGGTTCTTAAATAATATAACAAATAATAAACACATTTTAGTCAATTTAAGTAGCAGAAAAATCAAACAATGACGATGGTCTCCTTTTGGTGGTTTATGAACAGGCAGGAAATAATTCACCACAGAAAAGAGCCAGAACCAGAATAGACCAGCCATTGAACACGTTTTGTTTTAGCGAGAGGCTTGACTCGCTCTAATTCTAACTTCTGTAACTCCTCAACCCAAATTTTACAGAGAATATCTTTAAAAAAACGTTCATATGGACTGCCTATATAAGCTAAAACTCGTCCTAATAAAAGGAGTTTCCTTGGTTTGTGTGTACTTGTACTTTGCTAACCTATATTTGCATTGCATCACAAACATTATCTTTCAGAGGGGAGGGTGATGTGTCTGGGGGACAGAACAGAGCACATCTAGTCCCAAGACTGAAACTGAAAAAAGCTAAAAGCAAGTAGTGTTGATCAGTATCAGCTTCAGAACTGGGAAGGTTGAAGAACGATTGAACTATAATTGGATATGTATATAAAAGCCTTTATTGGACCTTTAACATAGATTCAGGATAAAGCAATACAGAATAGTATCAAAGTTAAATTCGTACCTGTATTTCTAGGACTGGTGCAGAGCGTCTCCTGTTGCCCATGGAGACCTCAGCCGTGTCACATCCATCTCGAAGGTCCAGTGTGGATATCGTCTCTGTTATAAACATACAGACCAGCAGTTAAACTATAATACACACAATGTTTTTCCTTTGCTTCTGGAAGTAGAACAACAGCATTGCATGTGGTTGTATCAGATGCTAACCAGGGTGTTTTTGGCCTCGTTTGATGCTCTTCTTGAAGAGTCTATCAACGTCCATATCCGGGCTCGGGCTGACTCGGGCTGTTTTTATTTCCGGCACCTGTTGTAACAGAAACAAGGAGTCACACTTATAGAAAAGAAAATACTTTGAGAAGGAAACACGAACCTGGCATTTGAAATATTCGTACATGGATAGCTTCTGAGTTAGCACTGTCCTCTGTCACGATGTCTGCTTTGACTGGAGCCGTCAGACTGGACACAGTGGACCCTGAGAGGCTCTCTTTCCTGTGGGATGACATACATCTATCAGTATTTTACTCCACTACGACTTTTTACTTTTACTTCTTACATTTTTAACACAAATACCTGTACTTTCTACTTCTTACATTTTCAAACAGGCTCGTTACTTTCAATTGAATCTGTGTTTGGCGGCGTGATCATTATTATTTAAGTCATTGCATGCCTATTGATTTGAACACGATGCGTGTATCCATCATTTCCTGGTCTTCTCTAAAGAAGACCAATGAAAACGTTGTCATTTTGCTGTTGTTCAGTGTCGAAACATTCATTAGCTAACAATGACATTATTGTTCTATTAATATAAAGGGAGGTCAGTTACTCTTTAAAACAGCTGGTAGTTATGGGAACTTTTTACTTGAGTATATTTCGAAGCCCATACTTCTTTACTTTTACTTGAGTAAAGAAGTTGAGTCAGAAAAACAGACAATTTACCAGTAGTATTTTAAACGT